AAATACACAATAAAACATTAACCGCACGAATAATAAAATAAATGACATAAAATAGAATAAAAAGAAAGACGAAACAATAATAAAAATCATGACAAAAATAGTACAAACACGAGCCCACACGCCCGTGCTGAGAGACGTGAGGCCAACTGCGTGGCCGACCGTTGACTCGTACGAGAGTTGCCGCCGCCATCACCGAAAGCCAAACTCCCCTGGTCAGCGTGTACGGCCAAACCTTGACCTTGTAGCTGGTATCCGAGTGGGTACATGCACGCGTCCCAGAGCCCGCATATGCAGCGCCAGCGTGTGTGTCACCTCTCGGTTGACAGTGCATTAAACCCAGTCCGACCTTGTCCTTTTAGAGGTCTTTGAACCAGATTTTTTTTTTGGGTCAAAGTGTATGTTGATCTTTCGAGTCATTGTGTGAATTTCCAAATCAACGACCCTCGATGTGTGAGGTTGGTCGATTAGTTTCCTTTGCCATATGTGAGATTTTCTCGACATGGCGAGATAGTAGATCTGTATTAATGTGGGGCGGAGCCTTAAGTCTCGGCTGGAGACCGACTCAGTGGAAGGAAATCGTTATTGAGTATCTAGCCTATACTTCCTAAACCGCATACGAGATGTTGTTCGTGTCAGGGAGGAGAGAAGCTTTGTCAGTGGTGTCAACAGAACTGTGTGTTCTAAATGTACCAGATTTTGAGAATAAGTGATGATTGTCGGTCCTATCATGAGTTCTCGACCAAGTCAATAGTTTAGGCTGATGGTGACTCCACCACCGGGACTTGTGAGCATGCATGCCACGTTCTAGCCTCGTAATGGAGGGAATGTGTGCGTGACATCAAGGTATATGTGTATTGTGACGAGCTGCGTGTTAGGCAGAACCCTACCTGTATGGAGGTACCGGTGACCTGTTGGGACCGAAGGTCCATCAGGCAAAGATCGGGAGGAGTACTCGTCGGCGTCCAGTGAGTGTAGTCAAGTTGAGGGCGAGACTAATTGGCAGGGGGAGACCGAG